AAAAAAATGGAAAATAGAGAAAAGAGAGAGAAAGAGTACGGTGTTAACGTCTAAAATATTTCAGTTGGAGTCCCAGAGAGAAAAAAATGGTTCAGAAGCAAAATTCTCAAAACTGATGAAGAACATCAATCCTTAGATTCAAGGTAACACGTGCCAACTTGAAGGGACTCTTACTGGCCAAAAATGGGACAATTTGACCACCAACAAAAAAAATGACAGCAATGGATTAAAACACATTGAATTATATAAATCCAGGCATTGATAATATTTTTAAAAGCTCATTAGTCACCTTAAAGAGAAAAACCAAGCATTTATCCCTACTTCCCTATATGAACTATATTTCAGAGTCCTCAAATAGCTGATGAAGTAAAGTTCTTTAAATTATTCACAGCTAATAAATGCAGAAGAAATGATAGAATTAGAAAATTACCATTGTACAACCCCTACTGAAATAATGGACATTAGCAATGACCATCAAGGGCTGCTAAAGTCACTAATGAAAGGTTTATGAAAAACATTATAACAGAAGGATCACGCAGACACCATATGAACCCAGTGATCAATCTCAGCATCACTAAAAGGGAACACTCCTTATGTAATGCAATAGGAAGTACACGGAAACACCTGTGGATCTATAGGAAAACAAAACACCTGATTCTAACCAAGTCTGTAACTCTAACTACCATGTTAATGGAAATGTGGAGAAAAGAAGAACATGTTAAATAAACACCATGATGAGGATGCAGTTATCCAAAACCAGGATGTCTGACCTACTCTATGGGGACAGATGGCCATGAAGAAAGGGGAAAGGTGCACAAATAAACAGCTGTACAATGGTCTATCCCAAATATCACATACTTATAAGAAACTGTTTTTCTATAGTTAGACACTAGGGTACTGCCAGTTTTTCATATACATACAACACCGTTAAATTTTTTGAAGCACTCTATCATTAGTATTTGATTCCTTTAATTTTATCATTTGTATTCCCACAAAGACAAATTAAAAGTATCATGGAAGGCTGGCCAGTTAGCTCAGTTGGTTAGAGCGTGGTAACACCAAGGAGGTCCAGGGTTCGATCCCTGTACTGGTCAGCCACCAAAAAAATAAATAAAATAAAGTAACAAAAAAATAAATAAAAGTATCATGGAACAAAAACTACCAATAGTTAGTATGAGAACATTGTATAAATAAGATATTGTCACTATTTTGCAAACTAATAACTTTTAAAAATTACTTTTTTGATGAACAATAATTTTTTTAAATGACAGTCATTCTCCCGTCTTCCTTTAATGGCTAGGTCTGTATGTGTAAAGGTATTGTGGGCCATGGACCATCCCCTTCCCCTAATCTGCAAGCACATTAGGCAGGCAATCCCTGTTTCTATTTCTTCCACTATCAGAATCATACTCTTCTGTCAAGAGGCTCAATAAACATTCAATGGCCATGAAAATTCATCCCAGATCTTCACCTCATTATTTGCATATCACAGCTAGAATATCATGACTTTCTCTAATTAAAATCAAAATGCCTATGAATATAAAACCAATATCAAACTTAAGTGATTACTTTCAACATCCAGAGGAAGTGCCTCATCTTCATTGTAAGCTCATGGGGAGGGGCTGCATTTGGTCTGCAGTAAGCTACATAAATCTCCCAGCACTTATCGATATAATTCATGGAATAGAGTGTCCGCTGTTGCTCCCGGAATAAATTGCCTAAAAATATAAACATTCAATAAATGATCACAGAATTATGTTTTGGAAAGATGATGGTAAATATAATCCTATTGTTCTCCTATTTACCTTTTACCCGGCAGGCATTCGGATGAATGTTCTCAGTCATCAGTTTTGTAAAACACAAAAAGAGAGATGGGCTTCTATTTCTGTGATTAAAAAGATATCATAATTACTCTTCTCACCAGCAGGTACAACTTGATTCCCCTCTCCTTGAATGTGGGCTAGACTTAATAACTTACTTCTAGTAAATAGAGTATAGGAAGGGGAAGATAGTAAATTTACAGTAGAAGAACCCGACTGACACCATGTTAAACCAAGTGATCAAGGTTCACGTCGTTAGTAATAAGACATACTGACATCATGTACCTCCTGATGTGATACGGTGAGAGAGGCAGTTCACCTCCATAGTATTCTTCCCCCAAATCCAAAACCTCCGTGTAATCATGAGAAAACATCAGCAAATCAAAGTTATGTGATATTTTACAAAATAATTGACCCGTATTTTTGAAGTGTCAAATTCATGAGAGACAAGGAAAATCTGAGAAACTATCACAGACTGAAGGAGACTGAGAAGACATGACAGCAAAATGAATGTGGGATCCTGGACTAGACCCTGGAAAAGAAAAGGGACTTCGGTGGAAAAACTGGGGAAATCCTAATAGTATGTAATCGAGTTACTGGTATTATAGCAATGTTAATTCTTTACTTTTGATAAATGTACCATGGTTACGTAAGATGTGACATTAGGGGAATTTGGGTGAAGCATATATAGGAACTCTATGTACTAACTTAGCAACACCTCTGTAAGTCCAAAATTATTATTATTATTTTTTTTTCCTTTTTGTCTTTTTTTCGTGACCGGTAACGGGATCACAACCCTCGGTGTCACGCCCGTACCGCGCTCAGCCAGTGAGCGGACCGGTCTCTATATGGGATCCGAACCCTCGGCAGGAGCGCCGCCACGCTCCCAAACTCCGTACTCAACCGAGTGCGCCACCGGGCCGGCCCCTAAAATTATTTTTAAAAGTTAAAAGAATACATATGTATACAGAGTATCTCTGGTGCTCTGAGAAAGACAGGGAATTCTGACCTAAGAAGGAAGGGTTGGTTGTGACGATTTCTGAGTAAAATCCCAAGAGCTATACATAATACTGAAACAAATCAGATATGAAGGGTTTTCAGAGTTTTAATCCAGTGTTTTATGGCTTTGTAGTTAATATTAACGGAAAAGTTTTGTGTCTAGTCCTTCATTTCAAGAGTATGTCAAAACAACAACTATGAAGAAAAGAGGACATTAAAACTATAGTACGAGTTAGCTCTGCCCTAGTCCCCTTGTAAGCGTCCAGAAGTAGTACTTACTGGTATTCTTTGTGATGAATGTGGTAAGCCAACTGCAGGAGATAATTCAGAAATGTTCTCAAAAGTATTGTTGTAAATGGAGAATGAATTTCTTCAACTGGGATGTGATTATTGGCTAAAATAAGAAAATTGGAGAAGATGCCTAGTATTTTCTAGAGACTTCTATTTTATTTGCTCCTGGTACACAATTCAAGGAACTGAATATGATGGCGTATTTCATTTCCTGGAGAATATTCTGAACATATATAAGCGTCCAACTAAAAGGTAAGTTCCACACAAAACATCTCTACCTGGATACTTTACAAGAAACTTATAGGATATCTTATCCCAGTGTTTTTCAAAGTAATTTGAGCCACAGTATGATTAATGCTGCTAATTCTAAATGGATTTAAAGTATGTTTCGAACACTTAGGTTTGAAGTAAATGGGTGTTTTTCTCTAAAATTTTTCAAATAGATATTTTAGGCTTTCAGTTCTGCCTCCCAGAATTCAGCCGAAACGAGTAAAACATTCAAAGTTGTTAAATGTATCACATGAATTTTCTAATTTGAAATCAATACTAATCCTAAGACTGCCTAAAACATTTTCTAGACTACTTCAAGTCTTTCCTGATCCTCCTTGCTTCTGACCTGCTAATTTAGTGCTTTTTTTTTTTCTATAGATCAGGGATAGGTAAACTTTTCTGTAAAGGGCCAGACCATAAATATATTACACTTTGTAGCCCAGACAATCTTTGTCACAACTATGGAGCTCTGATCTTACAGGGCAAAAACAACCACAGACCCGGTCTGTATGTGGGATCCGAACCCTCGGACGGGAGCGCCGCTGCGCTTCCCAAGCGGCGGACTATCCAGTGCGCCACCGGGCCGGCCCCCCTCCTTGCTTCTGACCTGCTAATTTAGTGCTTTTTTTTTTTCTATAGATCAGGGATAGGTAAACTTTTCTGTAAAGGGCCAGACCATAAATATATTACACTTTGTAGCCCAGACAATCTTTGTCACAACTATGGAGCTCTGATCTTACAGGGCAAAAACAACCACAGACGATATGAGAACAAACAGGCATGGCTGTGTTCCAATAAAGCTTTATTTACAAGAACAAGTAATGGGCTGAATTAGGCCCACAGGCCGTACTTTGCTGAAGATGGTCTTGTACTGTCTCTTCAAGTGCATAACAAGCACCTTGAGAACAAGACCATATGTTGATTTCTGGAATACTTCTCCCAACATTTGCCTTCTCCACTCCCTCAACATTTCTTATCTTGTTTCCATATGACTTAACGTTATACTATCCTTTAAAGATGTGAAGGATCTGGAATACTCACTACTTAATATCCTGTCCATATCGGCAAGAGTTATATTGTGGTGATGAAATTTGCAATCTTTCAGAAATCTCCAGAAGTGAAGCTTTGTCATCAGAAAGGTATTATCCAGAGAGTGATCACATCCTAGACTGCTGTAAAAGCTATAGATTCTTCTTAATTCTGTAATATTTCTTAAAACAGCATATTCTACCTGGAAAGAAGAAAGCCATGCACATCTTAATCCTGCCTAATAAGAACAAAAGTAAAAGACACAATACCTTGTTTTCTAAAAGTAAGATAACACGTGTAAAGTAATAATATGTACCTCTTACCATTGTAAGAGGTCAATAAATGTTTATTCTGCCTGCCCATCCCCAAGTCAATAAAATGTAATTTATGACTAATAGCAAAAAGACATGTTATCTGGAAATGGAATTCCTTTCATGCTGCTATCTCCATGGCAGCAATAAAATTCTGTTGTCTACAGATCATGAACATAGATGCAAAAATCCTTGACAAAATAGACTAAATACAGAAATATATAAAAATAATGATACATCAATACCATGCAGTGTTTACCCTGGGATTGCAAAGCTCATTTGATGTTTGAATAGTCAATCAATGTAATTCACCATATTGATAGACTAAAAAAGAAAAAATGCATGATCATATCAATTGATAGGTTTGACACAATTTAACATCCATTCATGATAAATGCCCTCAGCAAATTAGGAATAGAAAGGAACTCCTTAACCTGATAAAAGACATGTATAAAAAACATACAACTAGCATCACATTTAAGGCTGAAGTCTGAAATAAGCAATACTCACACTGATTGCTTTACTAACCTCCCTCTCTGCCCCCTTTTAGGATTTTCCCCAGGCCCCAGATGTCCTTATGCTGCCCCAAGTTCCCCATACATGCAACTCTGCAGCCTATACAATGTCCCGTTCTCCAAAACCACTTACTCCATGCCTCAGCCTCTTAAATAAAACGTTCAGAGAATGTGAAGAACAGTATTTGCGATCCCCAGGGAGACAGAAAAGCCCCACCTGGACAGCTGCAGCAGGAATTTTTTACTCTCATCATTAACTCCTGCTCTTTAAAATTTAATTCTACTTAATAAATATTTATAGTCTGCTCTATCTAAAAGCATCGTTCTAGAGCACAATACAGAATTTGTCTTCACAAAGCTTAAAATCTACTAAAGAACATAAGACACATATACATAATAAGGAAGTGTCATTGCTAGGACAGAGCCACAGAGAAAGGAGATAGATTCTACATAACAAGCTTCCTGGAGGATGCTGCACGTGAAACTGAGCCTCGGAGAATGGGAAAATGAGCAGCACTTCATGCAGAGCAGGCACCCTAAGTGGTGGCCAGGGCCTGGGAGTGGACAGAACGTGGTGCTCCAAGAATGCCAGTGGCGCTGTGTGACCTCGGAGAATGGGAAAATGAGCAGCACTTCATGCAGAGCAGGCACCCTAAGTGGTGGCCAGGCCCTGGGAGTGGACAGAACGTGGTGCTCCAAGAATGCCAGTGGCGCTGTGTGACCTAGAGTAAGGCCATCATCTCTCTCTGCCACAGCCCTCATGTGCAAAGTGAGACAACCACAGTACCTGCCCCCAAGGCTGCTGGAAGGATTCAGTGAATTAAAGGCGTTTGGGACCATGCCCAAAGCAGAGTGCTATCTAAGCACGTGCAGCCACTGTCAGCTTGTGAGCTCATGGTGAGGAGGAGGGAAACTGATGGAGATAAGCTGGAAGATTGGTGGATGTCAGACCACAGTAGGCCCTGAACACCATGCTAGGTACGTGGAATTGACAGCAAAGGCAGCCATTGGATGAGAAAGGATAGCTTGCAGGCTTCGAGGATCACTGCTTGCTTGCTTTGGCTTGCTCTGGCTGAAACTAGAATAATCTAGAACCCCTGCTCAAAATAAGACACCCACATCTTGACAAAATAATGCCAATAACAGATAAGAAATACATACCATGAAAAAACATGAAAACCCAAAAATACATATCATGAAAACCCAAACTGAGAGACATTCTACAAAATAACTGACCAGTACTCTTCAAAAGTCTCAAGGCCATGAAAGAATAAAAGATGGAAGAGAAAATAATGCAGCTGTCACAGACAGAAGGGGGTGAAGGAGACAAACAACCCCATGCAATGTGGGATCCTGGGTCGAATCCTGGAACAAAAAAAGGGCCTTAGGAGAAAAACTGGTGAAATTCAAATAAAGTCTGTAGCTTGGTTAATAGCATTGTAGCAGTGTTAATTTCTTGGTTTTGATCATTGTACCATGGCAACCTCAGGGGAAGCTGAGTGAAAGGCATATGGAAACTATGATTTTTGCAACTCCTCTGTAAGTCTAAAATCATCTCGAAATAAAAAGTAAAGAAAAAACTACAGAAGACTTGCTAACTAACTTGCAATATGTCCATTTTATGAATTATATTATCCAGTCATTAATAATGTTTAAAGGTATCCCTAAAGTATTGAATTATAGGATTCCTTCACTTTTTGTGTCATATTCCTGTCGTTTGGATTTTTTTATAAGAGCATGTATTACTTTTGTAATTATAAAACAGTCAAGATATACTTTAAAACCCATAATCCTAATACCCACATGTTTTGATATAGAACTCCAAACTGGAAAATGAATTATATATAATGTAAATGTAGGGATCCAGTCAAGATGGCAGAATAGATGGTCCTTAGCATCACTCTCTCCCACAAATCAACCAATTTACAATGATAAAAATGTAACATCAGCCACGCTGCGGCCACTGGAGCTCAGGGGAAGAGGAGGAGAGACCTATGGAGTTCATGAAGGCAGGAGAAGCCATGATGAGAGAAAGAAAAAACTGCTCTGAGGGCCGGCCCGGTGGCGCACTGCTACAGTGCGCCGCTTGGGAGTGCAGTGGCGCTCCCGCTGAGGGTTTGGATCCCACATACAGACCGGTTCCCGCTCACTGGCTGGGCGAGGTGTGGGGGCAAGGCCAAGGGTTGCGATCCCGTTGCCGGTCCGGGTCCGGTGCGGGCGCGACACTGAGGGTTGTGATCTGTTGCCGGACACGAAAAAAGACAAAAAAAAAAGAAAAAAGAAAAAACTGCTCTGAGAGTTTCGGGCCACGGCTGCTTTAAGGCTGGAACTGCTGAGCGCGTGGAGCAGGAGCCGGCAGCAGCCGCAGCTGTGCCCTTCAGATGGAGTTACTTGGAGGTAGCAGGAGAGAAGAGGGCCTTGGTGGCCCCCAGGACAGCAAGACCACTAATAGGGTTTCCGTGGACCCACGCAGGAGCGAGGAGCCAGAACAGCTGTAAAAGGGGAGCCATTCAGAGGCCAATGAGTCATCGCAAGGGACCAGCCCAGGGCCCATCCCATGGGAAGTGTTTGTAGCAAGGGCAGTGGGGGAGATGGGCCCACTGGGATAACACCGGCGCACAGCAAGGACAGCTGATCTGCCCCCCAATCAGCACAGGACCACTCAGAGGAGACTAGTCAGGAATGCAGAATTGCATTGGGTGCAGTTTGATGAAAAAACTCAGGCCCAGATCAGAGTTTCTACACAATCCAGGTGCACTGGGTTTCTGGAGAGCCCGAAGTACCTTTAAGGTCAACCATTAAACCCTAAGCTGCACAAAAAGCCTTCCCTAGGGAAACAGCAGCAAAATAGCAATTTAGCTCAACCAGACAACTCAAGTACTGGTTCCCAGAGGAAGTTCCCCCATTTTAGAAGTAAGCAAAGGACAAAATATTAGTTCCAGCCCAGGCACACCACCAGCACCTTGGGGCCTGCCCAGGGACCCAAGGCATGGAGAAGTGGACCAGACTCCCCTCCCACAACTAGGAACACCATGGCAGTGCTTCAGGGCCTGCCCATAAACCCGAGGCATGGAGAAGGGGACCAGACCCCCATCCCACAACCAGGCACACCATACCAGTGCCTCAAGGCCCTCCCAGGGACCTGAGGCATGGATCCAGGGACCAGACCCCCCTCCCACAATCAGGCACACCATGCCAGTGCCTCAGGCCCCTTTCCCAGAATCAGGCACACTGAACCTTGGGCCCACCCAGGGACCCGAGGTATGGAGCTGGGGACCAGACAGTCCCCACAACCAGGCACACCATCAGCACCAAGTGGCATGCCAAAAACATCACCTCCACAGGGGTAGCCCACCACAGCCACCACCAGAAAGCAGCTAGACATCACAACCACCATGCAGATGGCCCGCCAGCAACTGGAGTGCATTGACACAAGGAGAGTCACCAGCAGAGATATAGAAATAAGAGGATGTCTCTCTCCACAAAGCCCATTTCAGAGTGACAGAAGAAGCATCTGCTCTATGATAATATCAGGGGACCTGACCACACCTCTCAGCATTGGACAAATCATCTAGGCAACAAATCAACAGAGTAACCATTACTCTTTCAGAAGGAGAGAAGAAATCTAGGGTAATTAGAGGGGGGAGGGATAGGGGGATGGGGAGAGAATGGACAAGGGACATAAAAAATAATTACAATCTGTAACAATATATATACTAGTAATATTGATTTGATCAACATATTTCAATGTTGAACCCCCAAAATATGCATAATCAATTGATTCAATAAAAATTTTAAAAAATAAGTAAATAAATAAATACATGTAAAAAATATAGGTGGGAGAGGGAAATAATGTTAAACACGATCTCTCGTTTTTTGGCAAATCAATATATATTAGTTTATTCATCTAAAAATTACGATGTAGGAGAATATTTAATGAACACTGAGTAGCTATCATTGAATACTACATGAAAATAGAGAGTAAATGAACAGAATGATCTCACCTCTATATATGCAGGCACGGTAAAAACCTGGAAAGACAGTCCCAAGATTTCGGATGGAGATTCTTTTACTTTTCTCTGTATTTTTTATATTTTCTACAAGTATCATGTACTACTTTTGTAATTAGAGAATATAATAAGGGTTTCTGTGTTTAACAAGAATTTTGTGGAAGAGTGAGTGACATCAGGAGCCTGAATCACAGAGTCGGCCATGGGACAGAAAGTGGGAGGGTGGGGGATGGAGCCGTCCCTCTCCAGGCCCTGAGGAATGGGGCCAGATGAGGCAGCGATGAGGACGAGAAAGGCACAAAGTGCCTCGCATGCTTGAGGTGCCGATGGTTCTCTCATGGGAACGACATCTTCAACAATGGTTTCACAGAAGAAACCAACCCCCTGTCACAGCAGGGACCTTGCTACGAAGATGTATTTCAGTATCTGATTTGCCAGATGCTAATCAAACAAGGTCCAAGTACACATGATTTTCTCTGTCTCTAGGGATTTCTAGGTTTCTAATGACTTATATGGGCTTGAAGTTCTTTTGAACCCTAGCAGTCCATAATAATGCGCAGCAGCATTAATATCCTATAGAGGAAAGGGGCCACAGCCTTGGCCTTCAGAAAGATCTGAGTGAGAGGGTGATGTGACCCTTATGGGCTCTGAGGCCCTGGGTGAGTCCCTGAGTCCCTCCGCCTGGGCTTCCGTTTTCTCACAAAGCCTGCTCACTCATAGGGCTGCCTTGCACACTAAATGGGACAATGTATGTAAAGCATCTATCAGTTGTATGAAAGACACTCAATACATTACAGCAATCACCATCTGTTTTTTCCCAGGACTATGGGGACTCTGTTAATATTTGTATTAGTCCATTTCTGTTGCTTATAACAAAATACCTAGAACTGGGTAGTTTGTAAGAAAATGAAATTTATTGCTTACAGTTTCAGAGGCTGGGGAAGTCCACAGTCCAGAGAACACATCTGGTGAGTCTTCTGTAGTGGTGGCTTTACAGCAATGCAGGAGTCTCACTTGGCAGAAAATGGCAGAGCAGAGAGAGACTAACCTCTCATGTGCTCTTCTTTTAAAGCCCTCAGAACCATGCCTGTGACAATTATTTTTGATCCATTCACTACGGCACGGTCCTACAATCCAATCACCTCCTCAAGGCCCCATCTTCCAACTACCTTAATAGGATTTCCCACCCTCAACAGTTACAGTGGGCACTTAAGCTTCAACAAGGCTGAGGGACATAATTCAATCCACTACATTCCAACCCGAACCCCAAAACTCAAGTCCTTTTCACATGCAAATACATTAATTTCATCCCCAAAGTTTTAACTTGTTTCAACTCAAAAGCCCAAAGTTCAAGGGCCAGCCCAGGACTCACTCGGGAGAGTGCGGTGCTGATAATATCAAGGCCATGGGTTCGGATCCTATGTAGGGATTGCAGGTTCACTGGCTGAGCGTGGTGCTGACAACACTAAGCCAAGGGTTACGACCCCCTTACTGGTCATCTTTAAAAAAAAAAAGCCCAAAGTTCAAAGTCCCATCTGTGAAATCAATACAAGTTAACCATGTCCAAGACACAATGGTGGGACAAGCATAGGATACATATTCCCATTCAAAAAGGGAGAAATAGGCCAAAAGAAAGGAGTAACAGGTCCCAAACAAGTCCGAAACCCAGCAGGTCAGGCATCAAATCTCAGAGCTAGAGAACCATGTGCCTTGACTCCATGTTCAATGTCCTCTGCATGCTGGTATGGGGGTTGGGTCCCCAAGTCCTCAGGCAGCTCCGCTTCTATGGCTTTCCTGGTCGCAGGTAATGCTTCAACTTCTGCAGGCTGGCATTGCACGCTGGTAGCTCTACAATTCTGGGGTCTCCATGGCATTCCTGCTGTCATGGTTCCACTAGGCATGGCACTGGTGGGATTTCTTTGCTGCAACTCTGAGTCCACATTTCCACTGGGCATTGCTCTAGCAAAGGCTCTATGCAGTGACTCCGCCCCTGCGACAGATCTCTTCCTTGGTCCCTGGCTTTTCCATACATCCTTTGAAATTGGTGTGAAGGCTCCAAAGACTCTACAGCTCTGGCATTCTGCCAGCCTGTAGCCCTAACACCACATGGACGCCGCCAAGGCTTCCGGCCTGTATCTTCCAAAGCTGCAGGTCCAGCCACACCTGGGGCCAATTTAGCCACAGCTGGAGCAGCCAAAGCAGCTGAGGTGCTGGTGTGGGGAGCAGCCTCCCGAGGTGGCCCTGGGCAGCCAGCCCATGGAGGGTGCCTAGGGCCTGTTACCCAAGACCATTTGGTGTCCCTAGCCCCCTGAGCCTGTGATGGAAGACGCAGCTTCCAAGATCTCTGAAAGGCCTTCAAGGTCTTTTTTCCCTTCTCTTGGCAATCCTTTTCTTCTATACTAATTTCCTTAGCAAATGGCCACTGGACTATACCATTAAGTTTTTCTCCTGAAAATGCTCTCTGTTTCTCTACCACATGGCCAGTCTGAAAATTTTCCAATTTTTTGCCCTTTTCTTTCTTTTGAATTATATATTTTGGCTTTACCTCATGCCTTTTCTGCCATAACTCAGCATAGGTTGTTGCAAGTAGCCATGTAGCTTCCTGAATGTTTTGCTGCTTAGAAATTTCTTTCGCCAAACATTCTGGTTCGCAACTCTTAAGTCTTACCTTCCATAAAGTCCTAGGGCACAGACAGAATGCAGCCAAATTCCTTGCCAGTTTACGGTAAAGGTGATCCTTGCCCTAGTTCCCAAAAAGTCCCTTCTCATTTACATCTGAGACCTTCTCAGAATGGCCTTTACTGTCCATATTTCTATCAGCATTCTGCTCGCCACCATTTAACCAGTCTTTAAGAAGTTCCATACTTTTCCTGGTTTTCTTGTCTTCTAAACTCCCAGTAGCTGCTAGGCTTTTTCTAGCCCGCTCCTCCAGATTTTTCCAGCTTCTCCTCAACACCCAGTTCCAAAGCTGCTTCTACATTTTGAAGTATTTGTTATAAATATCACCCCACTTCTCTGGTACCAATTTTCTGTATTGGTCTGTTTCTGTTGCTTATAACAAAATACCTGGAACTGGGTAGTTTGTAAGAAAATGAAATTTATTGCTTACAGTTTCAGAGGCTGGGAAGTCCAAAGTCTAAGGAACACATTTGGTGAAGGCTTTGGTGGTGGCAATATTGACCCAGGATTCTCACATGGCAGAAAATGGCAGATCAAAAGGAGACCGACCTCTAATGTTTTGTTCTTTTAAAGCCCTCAGAACCATGCCCCTGACCACCATTATTAATCCATTCACTACTGCACGGTCCTACAACCCAATCACCTCTTCAAGGCCCCATCTTTCAATTACCATAATAGGATTTCCCACCCTCACAGTTACAGTGGGGATTAAGCTTTAATGAGGTTTGGGAGGCATCTAATCTACAGCAATATTTAAGCCAAAAATATAAATGTATAACAATACAAAAGGATTTTACCTGCTTCTTTTCTTCTGGTTGATCTTTCTTAGGATACATGTCCAGCAACAAGTTTAGATCCAGCTCAAGGCTCGATCCTAACACGGAATGACTTTCACTGCCATCAAGCTTTCTGACGATTTCTAGCAAAAGACGGCAAATGTAGGGGATAATTGTGAAAAGCAATGTTATGTCAAAATGATTTTCCACCAAACTGTGATACAAGAGTATTTGAAAAACCTACTAAGAAAACAGTTTCTCACAGGACACTTCTATTTTCTGAAGTATTAGGTGTATTTTCATGACTGGATACCATGGATAAAAACAGATTAATTTGTTTTCAACTGACAGGTGAATGCTCCCTACCAGCACTAATGGAAGATCTGCATGGCTTGTTCGTTTCGGAAATTTCTGAAGGCAGGTCCAGGTAACTTATGAATTCAACTTCAAGATCTGGAAACTTTGCTATGTGGTCATTGGAAAACGGGCCTTCATACACACGCCCATTCTTGAAAGTTAATCGGCCCTGCAGATAGAAAAATAACTATTTGCAGTTTAGGAAAAGTTTTTTAAAGAAAAACATTAGTATATGTACATTGATAGCTTTTTCAAGAATTTGGAGCCTTTATTAGTTTGTTCTGAAGGTATATGTTTAGTCCACATATAATCAGGCTTCTGGAGTCTTGCATCACTGTGTAAATCCTCTCTTTCCTCCTCTTCCACCTCCCCCTCCTCTCGTCTTTTTTCTCCTCAAAAGCTCTCCCCAACTTCAAGCATTTCTAGGTCACAGAATGTGTCTAATTAAACTGTGCTAATGACCAGCAGAGTGTCTATCACACAACAGGGACTCTCCTGATATTTGTCCTACCCAGACCAATAGTCAGTTCCTGACTCAGAGGTGAGCAAATGACCCAATTCAGCTCTATGAAATGAAACACAGCTTCTGGGAAAAGAGTTTCTTCTCTTCTTGTAGTTAGTGAGATATGGAATGTGAAGCCTGGAACAGTCATCCTGTAATCATGAGGAAGAGACTACACAAGGGAGAAGCTGACATGGTGGAAGACACTGTGGATAGATGGAAGAGAAATCCTGCCGTCACGGAGCTGTTGCAACAAACCAACCCTGAGCCCACATTGTTCTTTATTATATATGGCAGATTAAGCTAGATGGTCTGTTACTTGTTCCCCAACACACACAGACACCCAACACAAACTAGTTAAATAACCTCTAAATATAGAGGCAATCAATAATATGCTGGAAATATTTTAAAATTCATATAATCACCTTAACAAAACAGTAAGTTATTCTATGCAAAATGAATAATGCAACTTACTAGAGAATGACACGCCTTTTACTGTATTTCAGTTGTGTAACATAATCTTTGAAATGTAATCCTCACAGGTCTATACTCACCATGCCATGTTTTTTATTGGAAATCCATTCTCCATCATACAGAGCTCCACTGGCGTAGTAAAACTTCCCATGTCCGTGACGACATCCATTCACAAACTCTCCTACGTACTCATTTCTCAAAGGATACTGGGAATAGGGGATTCTCTTCAGAAACCATGTGTGTGTCCCAAAGCCATTCTGAAAAGAAAGCAAATTGCCACCAGAAATGCTCAAAATACTTCCCCTTTTTACATGAATCCATTTAAAATTAGGACAAATACAATGATAATTTGCAGAGGCAAAGAACACAGATTTCATAGTCACACAGACTTGGGTTCCATCTTAGTTCAGCTACTTACTAACCAGTCTTTTGACATAAGGCAAATTATTTAAGCCCTCTAGGTTCTTCATCTGCAACACAGAAATAACACCTACCCTGCAGTTTGGATGCAAAGATTGAAGACATGTATATGAAATGTCTGGCTTAAAAATAATTATTTTAAGGGCCGGCCCCATGGTGCACTCGGGAGAGTGCGGTGCTGGGATCGCAGCAACGCTCCCGCCGCTGGTTCAGATCCTGTATAGGACTGGCTGGTGAGCTCACTGGCTGAGAGCGGTGTGGGTGACACCAAGCCAAAGGTTGCGATCCCCTTACCGGTCACAAAAAAGACAAATAAATAAATAAATAAAATAATTATTTTAATTTTTTATTTTTTTAACATACAAATTGACAGAAGTACCTCCTTCTCAATCCCGCTTTCCAGAGATAACCACTAATTCAGTTTGAGAATTCATCTGTATTTTCCCCCAGGGACATACAATCATACATATTAAATCAACATATTGGGCCGGCCCGGTGGCACACTCAGTAGAGTGCGGCGCTTGGGAGTGTGCTGGCACTCCCGCCGAGGGTTCGGATCCCATATAGAGACTGGTCTGCTCACTGGTTGAGCATGGTGCAGGCGCGACTCTGAGGGTTGCGATCCCGTTGCCGGTCACGAAAAAAGACAAAAAGGAAAAAAAAAAAATCAACATATTATATGTACATATAATTATATACGTATACAATTTTTTCACAATTTTGGGGATGATTCTACATATACCATTCTGTAATTTCTGGGTATATACCCAAAAGAATTGAAAGCAGAGACTCAAACAGGTATCTGTATACCCATGTTCATAGCAGCATTATTCACAATAGCCAAAAGATGAAAATAACCCAAGTGCCCATTGACAGATGAATGGATAAACAAAATGTGGTATATATAATCAGCCTTAAAAAGGGAGGTAATCCTGACATGTGTTACAACACGGATGAAGCTTGAGGACATTATGCTAAGTGAAATAAGCCAGTCACTGGGCTGACCCCATGGCTCACTTGGGAGAGTGTGGCGCTGGGAGCGCAGCGGCGCTCCCATCGCGGGTTCAGATCCTATATAGGGATGGCTGGTGCGCTCACTGGCTGAGTGCGGTGCGGGCGACACCAAGCCAAGGGTTGCAATCCCCTTACCGGTGACAAAAATGACAAAAAAAAAAAAAAGAAAGAAAGAAATAAGCCAGTCACAAATGGACAAATACTGTATGATTCCACTTATATGAGGGACCTAGAATAGTCAAACTTGTAAAGACAGAAAGTAGAATAGTGGTTGCCAGGGCCTGGAGGGAGGGGGAAACGGGCAGTTAGCATTTAGTGGGTAGAGTTGCAGTTTTGCAAGATGAAAAGAGTTCTGTGAATGAACAGTGTTTATGGTAGCACAACAACATGAATGTACTTAGTGCCACTGAACTGTGCACTAAAAGATGATAAATTTTATATTACGTGTATTTTACTACAAATTAAAAATTTTTTAAAAATAAATCCAGTGTCTATATTCATGTCAAAGTAGACTTCAGAGGAATGGAAATTACCCTGGTTAAAGAAGAATATTACAAAATTATAAAAACAGTCAATTCACCAAGAAGACATAAAAATCTTAAATTTGTTTGCACCTAACAACAAAGCCTCAAAATATACAAAGCAAAATGATAGATCTGAAATGAGAAACAAATATACAATTGTACTTGGATACGTCAACACTCTTCTTTCAGAAATGGATAGAACAAGGAGACACAAAATTAGTAATGATATAGGAGAGCTGAACAACACTATCAACCAATTTGATCTAATGGACAACTACAGAACACTCCACCCAAGAAAAGCAGAAATACATTTAACACTCATCAAGATAGACCATATTCTGGGCCAAAAAATAAATCTCAATATATTTAAGAAAAATACAATCATACAAAGTATGTTCTCTGGCCACAGTAGAATTAAAAACAAGGGGAAAAAATCAACAATAGAAAGATATCTGGAAAATCCCCAAATATTTAGAAATTAAACAACATACTTCAAAATAATTTACAGGACAAGAAAGAAATCATAGCAAAATTAGAAAATATTTTGAACTGAACAAAACTTAAAATACAACATATCAAAATTAATGGGATACAAATAAGGCAGAGGAAACATTATAGTATTAAATGCTTATATTAGAAAAGAAGAAATGTGTCAAATCAATAAAGTTTCCATCTTACAAATCTAGGAAAAGAAGAGCAATTAAATCCCAAGCATCTAGAAAGAAGGTAATAACAGAACAGATATCAATTACGTTGAAAACAAAAAGAATCAGAGAAAATAAATAAAACTAAAACTGGGGGCTGGCTAGTTAGCTCACTTGGTTAGAAGCGATGCCAATAACACAAAGCTCAAAGATTTGGATCCCCATACAGGCCAGCTGCCAAAAAAAAAAAAAAGAAAGAAAGAAAGAAAATTGAAAAATAAAACTGGCTCTCTGAGAAAATTAATAAAATTGATATACCTCTAGCAAGACTGATGAAAAAAAGAGAGAAAACACAAATTACTAATATCAGGAGAAAGAGGGAACATCACTAAAGATTTTATGTACTTTAAAAGAACAGTAAGGAATGTTATGAACAACTTTGTGCCAATAAAGTCAACAATATCTATGAAGTGGACAAATTCCTTGAGTAACACAAACTTACAAAGCTCACTGAAGAAGGAATAGATAACCTGAATAGCATATTATCTACTATCGAAATTTAATTTATATTTAATTGTCCACAAAGACAACTCCAGGCCCAGAAGGCTTCCCTGGCATATTCAACTGAACTGTTAAGGAAGAGATAATACCAGTTCTACTAACTCTTCCAGGAAATTGAAGAGAAGAGGATACTTCCCAACTCATTTTATGAAGCCAACATTACCCTGATTACTGAAACCTGAAAAGGATAAGAAAAGAATACTATAAGGGGCCAGCCTGTGGCTCACTCAGGAGAGTGTGGTGCTGATAACACCAAGGCCACGGGTTCGGATCCCTATATAGGGGTGGCCCGTTAGCTCACTGGGTGAGCGTGGTGCTGACAACACCAAATCAAGGGTTAAGATCCCCTTACCGGTCATCTTTTTAAAAAAGAAAAGAAGAGAATACTATAAATTAATATTCCTCATGAACACAGACACAAAATTTCAAAGTATTAGGAAATTGAATCCTGCAAGATATGAAAAGGATAATAATATCATGACTAAGGAAGGTTTATCTCAGGAATGCAAGGTTGGTTCAACATTTGAAAATCAATCAATGTAATTCAGCATATCAACAGACTAGAAAAGAAACCACATGATCACCTGACTGGAGGCAGAAAAAGCATTAGACAAAATTCAGCATCCATTCATAATAAAAACGGTCTGCAAATTAAGAATCAAAGAGAGCTTCCTGAACCTGATAAACAGTATCTATGAAAAGCCTACAGCTAACATCACAGTTAATGAAAGACTGAATTCTTTCCCACTAAGATCAGAAACAATGTAAGGATTTTCCCCTCTCCCCACTCCTATTCAACATCCTACTGAAAGTCTTAACAAGCCAGGTGCAATACGGTAAGGGGGGAAAATTGCATACAGATTTGAAAGAAAGATATAAAGTTGACTGTACTTAGAAACATGATTGCCTACATAGAAAATCCCAGGGGCTAGCCAGTTAGCTCAGCTGGTTAGAGTGTGGTGTTATGACTCCAGGGTCGAGGGTTTGGATCCTCATACTGGCCAGCTGCCAAAAGGAAAGGAGAAAGGGAGGGAGGGAGGAAGGAATCCCCCCAAAAAACAAACTAAACCTTTTTTTTTTTGCTGGCCAGTACAAGGCAACTAGAATTCTTATGTGAGTTCAGCAAGGTCCCCAATTACAGATCCATATATAAGATATCAGAAAAATCCTAGTTATATGAACTATATAAAATTAGCTATATAAAGTTTTTCTTTTCTGTTCAGGATATCCATAACTTCTAAAGTATAAACAATAGTCTCAGTCCGTATAGGATCCATAGGAACTTATGAATCTGCTGGTGGCAGAACCTAGCTTGTATGAGACCGTTAGAGAAGACAAAATATTAAAACAGCAATAAAAAAGCAGAGTTGAGACCGTAAGTAGTAATTTAAGTTGCAAAATTTAGCAGAGTTTAAATTTCACATTACCATTATACCATATCATTCCAAATAATACATGTGCATCAGCAGAGCATCTGCCTCTGTGTTGAAGCTGCTGAGACGCCCAGGCTGGGGCATACCTGGACCCCCCACTCCCACTGGCCGGTGTATTCCTCACTGGTACTCAGCCACCTCATTCTCCCTTCTCCGTGGCGCATGTTGTCTTCCCACTGGCCTTCATATATGTTTCCAGATTTGTAACTAGCACAAGAGAAACCCATGGAAAACAATGAGTTACCTTCATATACAACATTCCCCTTTAAGACTTTCTTTTAAACTTTCCCCCTGAACACCTTTGAAGAAATCCAACCCTGTGCCATACAATCTTCCCTGTATTTAAATTCAATGGGTAGGCTTGTAGTTGGTAAAAATAATCATCTTAGGGCAGAATAAATCACTTTATTAAACCTTCTGACTATTTGATCAGGTGACAAAGTAGGTAAGAGCAATGTTTTTAAATCTTTTCAAAATAATTCCCTATTGCATTATTAGTTAGTATTTTGCCCCCAAATATTTTAATCCTTAAAATATTTGACTATCAGCTCAATCTAACATCAAGTCAATGTGTCAACATTCTTCAGAAAACATACAACTAATAATGCAGATCCGTGATTAATACAGAGAACATAGAAAGGCAGTTGCTACGTATAATAAAGTGAAACAGTATGATTAGGTATTATTTAATATGGTGTTTTTTCCCAAATTTCCCATAGAATATTTTCATCACTATGGAGATTATACTGGGATTAATTTAAATATTCCATCCTGCTCCGACAGAAAATGTGTTCTCTGTAATTTCTGTACCTTATCTTTAAATAAACTAAGTGAAAATTATTGGGGCCCACCAACACTTTTTCACCCACACCCCAGTGTGGCAGTGGTCATACCTACCATCTGATTCCCCAGCCTTTCTTGATGTTGTGAACCCAGTCTCCCTCGTACCAAGAGGTGCCCTCATGATTGTAATAAATGGAGCCCTAAAATGAATAATACCATTTTTACAAATCAAGCATCATAACACAACTGCTCTTTTAAATGTAAAGATAAATATATGAATTTAAGAAGTATAAACTATGCAGAAGTCAATGTCATACTTAGGTAAGACATATAATCCATTAAGTTTCTATCCTGCAATCAAGAAAACGGTAAAGTGTCCACACCAAGGGAGAATGAGATAATGTCACAAATCATTACTCCTTCACGAAGTGCCACATTAAAGCCTGGAATGACTACATTCATTATATTCAGGTATATCATTATATTAAGTAACTATTAGTCAAGTAAGTACCTAAAGAAATCCTGTCGTGTTGAATAGTCACACCTTCCATGTAACTGAAGGTCACTCTCCCTTATGTACCAAAACCATGTTTGTTTTATCTATTTTGACATTCAACTCATTTGCTGCCTCTGAGTGTAAGTGAACACAGCGTAACCTTTCTCTGATGACTCCTGTCAGGGAGCGGTACTTGCCACCGTGCGACGAATTCACATCTATGCTGGGCAGCCTCAAATCGCCTTTTCACTGGTTTATCTATTTGTGCGTGCGTGCGTGCGTGTGTCAGGGAGCGGTACTTGCCACCGTGCGACGAATTCACATCTATGCTGGGCAGCCTCAAATCGCTTTTTCACTGGTTTATCTATTTGTGCGTGCGTGCGTGCGTGTGTGTGTGTGTGTGTGTGACTTTCCTATTTCTTCCTCATTATCAGGTTAAGTTGTTCTTTCTTGCAGCCATCCTGTTGCTTCTGTCTATAAGTCACTGTCCCCAACCCCTCCAATATGTCCGATATGATCTGCTGTGAGTTAAACACACACACACACATACACATACAATGGAACAGTCTGGTAACGCCTGAGGAAAGCAGGAGAGCGAAGGTGGTCTCCACGGGTGGTCCTCCCCGTGATGTGGGCTGACAAGAGGCCAGGGTGCTCAGGTGGGCTTAGTCGCGGCCCTCGATGGTCTCTCCCAACTCTCTTGCCCGCATCTGGTGAGGAAGAAGGCTGGACTAGATCTCTAATTCCCCTTCAGACTCTGAAATCCAGATATTCCTTTATGAACAGACAGACTGTAAATCCACCGTGGTCTGTGAGAGACTTTTCAGCCGACTTCCAGAGATGGGCATATACCTCACAGAAGGGCTTCTTGTTCCACTTTTATCCACCTGGCAGCTCCGCTTACAAGAAAGTCGGTGCACAGACCAGGTCTCTTCAGGAGACGCAGAACAGAAGTTGGGGTTTAATGACCTGTGCTATTTGGATGAAACGGCTTCTGCAGCCAGAATTCTCAAAGGTTTCTCAGGGCTCACGCAGACCCGCTTCACCCGCACCTCCAGAGTGAGAGGCACTGACTTCTGTGGAGCTTCCAACTAAGACATCAGACTCCACCCATGTACTGTGTGGGGTTGAAACTAAACCAGAGCATTTACCTTCCCTCAGTAGGCAGTCATAAATGATACACACAGAAAAAAGGAGTCCCCAGTTATTTAAGAAACCACGTGTGAATGCTGCAGGATCACAGACTTCTGAAAGGTAATAGCACATTTGGTAATACCCTCCCAGGGGACAGGTTCCAACCTATTAATCTTAACCAGTAATGATAATAATGGTAGACTTTTTCTTTTTTCTATGACATTTTTCTAAAAACTACAAATTTTAAAAATTCTAAAAGTTGCTACGGCATTTTCTCATCCTATACACAAGCAAAACAGTTATACCAAAAATGTCATCCTTGGTTCAAAGTGAACATACCCCACATTGATGGCAGGGATGTAAAATGATTCAGCTAATGTGGAAAAAAGTTTGGTGGTTCCTCAAAAAGTTAAACATACAGTTACCACATAACTCAGCAATTCCACTTTTGGGTGTGTACCCAAAAGAACTGAAAACAAGTACTGTATTCAAATAAATCCTTGCACACATTCACAGCAGCACTGTTCCTAACAGTGAAAAGATGGAAACAGCCCAGATGTCCCTAAAGGGATAAACAAATTATGGTAAATACAATGGAGTATTATTCAGCCATAAAAAGGAATGAAGTACTGACTCAGCTACGACCTGGACAAACCTTGAAAACATGCTCAGTGGAAGAAGCCAGACACAAAAGGTCACGTATTATATGATTCCATCTTTATGAAATGTCCAGAATAGGTAAACCCACAGAGACAGAAAACGGATTCGTGGTTGCGGGGGGCGGGGAGTGGGAAATGGGGAGTAACTGCCCAATGGGTACGGGGTTTTATTTTGAAGTGATGAAAATTTTGGAAGACTAGACAGATATGGACAACATTGTGAATGTACTTAATGCTGTGGACTTGTACACTTTATTTTTGTTTTCTTCGTTTTGAATTGTACACTTTAAAATGATTATTTAGGTGATGTGCAATTTCACCTCAATAAACAAAAAGTGAACCTGAAGAAATAAATTAGTAGAGAGAACCATGAAAAATACAGTAAAACCAAAATATCACTAAGTTAAAAAAAAACCACAAGTGGACGCGCCCCAGCAGCCACTTCCCGCCCACCGTGTGGGTACACTCTGCTCATGGTGGGACTCCACCCGCGGCTGCCTCACCCACCTTCCCGTGTCGCTTGCCCTGGCACCAGTCACCGATGTAGGACACAGGCTGCGTGCTGCACTTGAACACACCAAATCCGTTCCTCATGCCTTTGACCACTTCTCCTTCGTACGTGCTGCCATCCGGCCACGTGTACATGCCATGGTTCATGGGGATGTTCTTCACAAAGTCCCCCTATGGGAAAAGGGCCATGAGGGTAACAGAGAGAAGGCAGGGGATCCCTGATCCCATGGGCTCTTTGTGATGCCTCCTTGACTCCCGATACTACTCCTGTCTCCCCCGTGGAAACAGCAGAATCCCCTCATTTTCTCTCCTCCTTCCTTCTCTGTGTTTCCCATCCTCTCTCACCCAAGGCCCCGGCAGAATAAAGAATCTGGAAGGTTGTGTGTAGACTAAGCTCCAAGAGGCAAGCAGGTGACGTGGTAAGGGATGGCTTCCAACCCCGACCCTGGGAACGCTAGATTCTTAGAACCCACCTCCAGGGAGGCTAATCACTGTTCCCTCCAGGAGATCTGGATGACTAGCCAGGCTTAGCGGTCACTGATGGAAACCCTTCTTTCTGCCTGTGTTTCATCAAAATACTCTGCAGACGTCAGTCAACCACCCACCCCATGGGCACCTTCTAAAAATCCGCTCTGGGAAGGACCAGGTGTCTGCTGAGGGGGCAGCAAACAGTACGACACACATCAGCCCAGAGCCACCGGATTCTCTTCCAGGAGTCTGAACTCACCAGGGTCAGCACAGAAAAGAGGACAATGTAGCCTGATCTGACCACTGGCCAGATTGCATGAGGCCAGCTGACCTTTGGAGGACACTTCTGTGAAGATTCTCTTCCAGGAGTCTGAACTCACCAGGGTCAGCACAGAAAAGAGGACAATGTAGCCTGACCTGACCACTGGCCAGATTGCATGAGGCCAGCTGACCTTTGGAGGACGCTTCTGTGAAAGCCCAAATCCTGCCCATAAACCCTCCTGACTGGGCTGATACAGGGGTCTGTGCCTGCAAGAATGACCCCAGCTCCACCCCCAAGAGTTTCCAGAGACGTGAAGCAGAGGAAATCCCTTGGCAAATCGCCATTCAGGGATCAGAAACCTTGAATATTGGCCACAGGCTAGAACGCAGGATGTCTCGTGGGAAGGGAGTTCCCCCAGAAAGGCTGACCCCAAACCACTGTTGGAACCCACTCCTCAGGATCCCCTGGACCTTGAGGTTCTCTTTCTCCTGACACTGAGGGTCGACCCCTCTCTCACTTTCCCTGTGCCTCTGTATCCAGTCTCCCACCATCCAGCTCCAGGCCACTGCCCTCCTGGCCTAAACTTGGCCTCATCGTCTGGCTATTATTTGAATAAGCGCATTATGTGTGTGAGTTTTCAGTGTCTTCATTTCCATTTATAACTACCATCGTGTTAGCAACTCTGCAACTGAGATTTTTAGAATAACATTTCAGGCACTTTGTGGGTGGGAGTTAAAATTGGTACAATCGCTTGGAGAACAAATCTGTCCTAGCATCAATTTAAAAATACACATTCCCCTCAACCCAGCAAGATGGGCTAAGTGAACAGGATACAAGCAGCCAGTGAAAATAGTTAGATCTGGATGAATGGATATGGTTCGATATCTAAAAAATAAAGGTACAGAAAATAGTATATAATAAACTATTTGTGTTTGTATAAAGGAGGAAGTGCTAAATTCACATAAGGGGATGGCCAGTTAGCTCAGTTGGTTAGAGCGCAGCCTTGTAACACCAAGGTCAAGGGTTTGGATCCCCATACCAGCCAGCCACCAATATATAAATAAGTACATACACACATACATGTATGGGCGTTGTATATGCACAGAACACGTAGAATACCTCTACACTCTACTAATGAAAGCAGTAACGACAATTACCAGTGGGTCCCATGCAGTCACGAGCTACTATATCCCTTGGTTTTGTGAATTTTTTTAAATCCAGTACTGAATTACTTTTACGAAAACAGTATGTCTACTTGTAGAAACCTGACCATTAAATTTCATAATTACAGTTTAGAACTATAACTTATTATATGCTTTACCTCATATTTCAATCCATCGGCCCAAAGATAAGTCCCTTGTCCATGCATGAGTCCTTCTGAAAACATACCCTTCAAAACAAAACAAAACCACAACCTTAGAATGCAGTTGTTGACTTTACCCCACATCTGCTGTCCACAGCTTCAGTTCTCAGAACAGAGCCTCAGCCTCTTCCACGCATGTGAATATGCCATTGACACGCCTGGTGACAGCAGGAGAGCCCAGCTGTGAGCTGGCACTGCACTGTGGTTTGTCCTGTTCGAAAAAGGATCTAAGGAGGAGACCAAAAATATCCAGCTCCCTAAAACTTATACCAGGCAGTCCCGAGAAGTTATTAAAAATGAGCTGTAAATTCAATGAGTCTTCCTCTCCTACTTAAGTTATTGGAAAACTCTATAGTTCAAAAGAATTCAAATGCTTTCGGTTTTGCACTCCCAAGTTTAAGGATTTTTTTTAAAGATTTAAACTAGATTAAATTATTAAAATCATTATCTGAATATCAGAAATGATTACATTTATAAATTTCACCCTTCCTGTCTGTTTTCCCTTACTGGGAATTATCTGTCTGTGTGTGTGTGTGTGTGTGTGCTGGCATATACATACAAGTAAACAATGTACAGTTGTCAGTATAGGTAATTTACATTTAAAGCACCTATTGTTGAGCAGGTCCGTGGCTCCCTTGGGAGAGTGTGGTGCTGATAGCACCAAGGCCACAGGTTCGGATCCCTATATAGGGATGGCCGGTTAGCTCACTTGGGAGAGCATGGTGCTGACAACACCAAGTCAAGGGTTAAGATCCCCTTACTGGTCATCTTTTTAAAAATAAAAAAAAGCACCTATTGTTAACATATAGGACCTAGGCACAACAAACTTAACACACATGAATGTGTAAGTGCAGTCAGAGTAGACAATGATAAAATTACATTTCTTAAAAATGTAAATGTAAGGGCCGGCCCAGTGGTGCACTCGGTAGAGTGTGGCGCTTGGGAGCGTGGCAGCGCTCCCACCGAGGGTTCGGATCCC